TGCTTTCCAACTGGTTTTCCTTGAGGAACTCTGCAGGCCAGCGGCCCTGCTGGCTGGAGAGCTGCCTGACAGACAGACAGACAAACAGACGGTGTATATGCAGTGCCTACCAGAGCTGAATGTGCTCCTAGATGTTAATGGAGCCCTGCAAACTCGCAAAGCACTATTACTATTTTTTCACCCAGCTGTTTCATCAGGGTGCCACAGAGCTACTGCCTGTATCCCAGCTCAGAAAACTGCTGCTGGATGGTAAAGGAATCAGAAGATCTGGCTTCTCCTCCCAACTCTGCTTCTGAGTCATTATTAACATAAAATCAGGTTTGTTGCATCAGTTAAGCTGAGTAAATAAACCACGACTCATCACTGTGTTTTATTTTGCAATATTTCAGTGGGCTCCTCTTTACAAATAAACACTATTAAGGATCACTGCAATTGCAGGTATATGGGGAAGGAGAGAAATGAAAGCGTCTAAACTGGTCTAAAATCTTTATGAAGAGCAGGCCAAAATCTCATCTTTTTGGAGGATAATGATTTTCATAGGACAGACATGTAAAATTAAGGCAACTCTTATGTGGGGACACTAAAATGCGAATGAGTCATGCCTGCAGGTCTGACAAAGCTGATGGGTAAAAAATATTGGGAAACATCCTAATCCCCTTCTGAGGAGCCAAGGCTGAAATCCCAATGCCACTGAAGTTTACAGTAAAACTGGGGCTTGCTTCCCTAGACCAGGATTTAACCTCTATAAATCTCAACTGTGAAGACAGAAGCCTTAGCAAGGAGATAGCCAACTTCATAAGCAGCAGTTCCAGGAGACTGAGGACATCACGAATTCAAAAAAAAACAACTGAAGGTGACAGGGAAAGCGAGGTCTGAACCCATGAAGGTCTGGCTCAGTCCTGTCTCCTGCACTACGGAACATCCCTTTATCCATCTGAGGTTTTGGGGCAGGCTGGTCTCCAGTGTGACAGCCACCCAGGCAACTGCCAGCCTCCACTGAAGCCCTGGGCTTCTTTAGGGCTAAGCTGCTCCACATAGCCACACACCTAAGTGCACCACAGGCTCTGCAGCCAGGCCTCGTGCAGCACTGGGAGGGATCCTGTTCAGCCAACTTCCTCACTGCCAGAGCACCTCTCAGCTTTTGTCCCTCTAACAACTATTCCCTCTCACAAGTAGCTGCAAAATCACCAGCTGCTGGGCACTGCAGGCCTTCTGGAAGGGCTTTGGGCTGCCCTTACCTTTATTTTTAAAGTGGCTCTTTCCATGTCTCTCAAGAGCCTTTTAAGTGTTCTCTCCCTGAACTCTGGCATCAAGGCCCTTTTCTGAACATCTGAGACCTTTCAACCTGCTTAAACCCCATTGCTGGACTTCACCCTCCATCAAAAGCTTACATGAGCATCCACTGTTATCCAAGTGAGCAGGAGGTGCTAAGGACCTCAGTGGATCAGTCTTCAGTCCCACTCCCAGACCAGACATGGTAAGGACAGCTACAAGGCCTGCCAAGCACATGATCTCCTTCCCCTCCTTTGACTTCCCCCCATTCAGCTTTCCAACTAAACATCTGATCGAAGGCCCGGGGGAGGGAGTCAGAACTGTCCAGTCTGGTTATGAGTGAAGGTCATTGATCTAGCACAGACCAGGGATGCAGAAAACAGGGGAGGGAGGAAGGGAGGGAGGGAGGGAGGGAGGGAAAAAAAATCCTCAGACAGAAGAGACGGAGTGAGGCAGGCAGAGGCAGCGCGGCAGTAAGTGCAGGGGAAGGCAGCGCAAGGGGCTGAAACATGGTTTCACACTCCAAGACCCAAGGGCTGTTGTCAACCCGTCCTTCATGCTCACATCTTGTCACACTAGAGGTCAGGTCTCCCAAGCGTTCCTGAAGAGCTGAGCTAGCCCATATGGCAGGCAATATGTTAACAATATGGATCAGCTGCTCGTCAGGGCCTGAGCAGATGGATGTGACAACCCTGTTCTTACCCAGACAGGCTTTTAACATCTTCCCTCCCCTCTACCCAGCCCTGCTGGAAGAGCTCTGCCTGGGAACTGCTGCCTCCAGCCTACCTGAACTGTGGGGCCACAGGTCAGGACAAGCAGCATGGAAATGCCTGCCTGGCTGTAGCCGGGTGGCAGGAGCAGGGCAGAGCCCCGCTCCTTTAGAGCAGCGCTGGCAGGAGCCAGGCCAAGCGTTTATCCAGGACAGCGTGCTGCAAACGGAAAGGCCTTGCTGTAATCCAGAGAGGTGCTATTAACTCCAAGCAGGGTGATACAGGAGATACTGTATTCAGATATATGTATATGGCATGTTACCACCAGATGCCACACTTTACAGTCTAGACGGAGTTTTGTAACTGCCTGGGAAAAACTCCTCTCACAGAACATGTAATACATAAATAGATGTGTATTTTAATGGGCAAGTTAAACTCCTCCTGGCAAAGGTAGGCAAGTCGATTTCATACACAGGTGGGTAAATTTCCACAATGATTTTGCAAGGCTGTTTCATATTCCCCAGCCCAGCTCAGGATCTGAGCCGTCAGGGCTGGTTGGGCTGGCCCAGCTGCACTTCTGTGGAAGGCAGTGTTCCCATCTCATCATGTTTGCAGCTGTGCCCATGCAGTAATCCCAAGGATCCCAGCAAAAATAACTCCATCAGTCCAAGCTAACCCACAAATTTAGCTTCACTTTAGGATTTAAATGGGGGGGAATATTTTGCAAATTCAAACACAGACAGAGCAGATATTTCTAATCCCTTTCCTACACTTTTTTTAGTTTTTCCCCCCCGCATAAAAGTCTACCTTCATTAACTGAACAAGAAAACTCCCTCCAACCCTTATAGCTCTAGGACTAAACAGTCAGCTTGTGCTTATAAACAGTGAAAAAGCAATCACAGCCTAGGGATGGGCTCTGGAGAACGTGCAAACAGCCTCTGTAGCCCAAAGTAAATTGAGCTTGTTTTGAAAGTAGAAGCCATACAACTTGCTCTAGGGCAGAAGACTGGAACACAGGGATTTCTAGTCCAGAACATGAGAGATCACAAAGCCACATGCCTGAAAGGCTAAGTGCATATCCTTCACTGCAGTGATGTTTGTAGAACCACGGGGACCTCAGAAAACAGCGGAGTCCAGGGAAATATTTCTGGTGTCACTAATGAGCTACTGTCCCTCAGGAAGCAGCCCCTGAAGGACGCTCAGCAATGCACCCAGTAGGTACTGGGAGGAGACCAGTGTGGAAAAGGATAACTGATTTGCAAGAGTCTGAACCACAAGGATCACTTCAGCATTTAAAGTATTCCTGATGTATCAGTCTCCTCCTCTTACCTTCTTGTCTCAGAGGTTCTGCTCATCCCAAGTCCAGATCAGATGGACAAGGTAGGGTTTTCAATATTAGGAACTACACAAGCAGAAACCTGTGACAGGGGTCACAGGAAAAGCTCCTTGGTGATGAAAGAATCACCTAGAACCCATGAGGCAGCTTCCTCTGCACAGTTTTTTTCCCCCTGGATGTTGCACCTCTCTGGAGAGGCACGTAAGGGTGTTTGGTGGAAAATTCACCTGCTGCAGTCAAACTTGAGAATTTGTGTCTTATTTGGTAAAACCTCAAGGCTCTTCATGTTCCTTTACCTTATTCCCTCAGGCAGAGCTCCTATTTGGGAAGCTCTCTTGCCTCTGGAGGCCTGGGAAGGCATTGCTCTAAAAGGAGACACAAGCACCAGAGCAGCTCACACAGGGATAAAGGCCAGAGTTCGCTACATTACCAGTTCAAAACCAGGCTTTCCAAATAAAGCATGCCAGACCCTGGAGGTGTTTCAGCACTGGGAAGGTGTGGGAAGGCACAGCTCACCCCTATCCCATCCTGAAGCACATACTTTACTGGCAGACTTACTGAAAGCACTCAGGTCTGTAGGCTCTGAACATGGCAAGAACTAAGACGTGCTGAGCCTTAGAGCATCATGGCTGTTGCTCTTTCAGGTAGGGCTAGGGCACTCACAACATGAGTAAATTTCTCTGTGCTACACACAGCTAGCAATGGAGAGGGACTGCTGGAGCCCCAGACCGATATCTGAGTCCAGTGACTATTCTCATCTCCCCTCTTGCTAAACCAATACAGTCCCTCTGCCTGGACCCTTCCAGCTCAGCTGCACCTGTGACTCACAACAGCTCTGGACACACTGCTCTGCCCAGGTATCATTTATGACATAGCAGCAAAAAATAGAGGAAGATGATGCTACAGAATCCCCTCAGGCACTTCAGTTGCTGATCTTCATTCATTCAGGCATTGTCAGCATTTAATGATGTCAGCAAAGTATGGAGATAGCCCCTGACAATACCTCTGTGCCCTACAGAGCCCATGTGATGTCACACACAGGCCAGACACAGCAAGGATCCTCAGACCCTTCCACCTGCAGCTGTATGGCAGTGCCACGAGGCACCTCTCAAATCCCCAACCCATTGAGAAGAAATACATGGTCCCACTGTTATGTCATACCTTTCTTTGCAGAGAAGCTGTGATGGCAGCCAAGCAGAGAAGAAAGTAAAACAGCTTTTAGAAACAGAGTCCCACCCCCTCAGAACTGCTCTGAGTTACCCACCGTGACCACAGACATCCTCAAAGTCCTTTTGTGAAACAAGTCAGTCAGAAACTGTCCCACACAATACTTACCCAGGGGACTCCCGTGTACTCCTTAGCCAGCTGTTAACACTGCACAGCAGCTCACTGGGAAGAGGAGGTGAAGAGAAAGAGCTGCTCAAAGCAGCACCCTGCTGTGTCAGCTGGGTGTCTGCACACAGGTGGGAGTGATGGCAGGGGTAAACCCAGTCCTACTTGTAAGCCAGCCCAAACCAACATCCCACCACGCATTTGCCACCTAAGCCACTGAGTTCCCACTGCTCTGTCAAACTTCATAGGCTAGAGATTTCCCAGGAGCTGGAATGAAAGCTCTGGAGAGCCAAAATCACTCACTCCAGTCCTGCTTCAGAGCAGTTTGATCACAGAACAAAAGCTTGTACCTTGCATTGAGAAGTCACAGGCTTCAAGGTCCATTCCAGTGTACAAAGCCAGGACAGAAGTCAGGTTCTTTGTTTTGGAGGTGGTCTCAGGTGAAGACAGGGTGAATTAGATGGCCTCCCTTCACTTGGTGAAGTCTCTTTTCCCTGAGGAGAGTTTCAAAAGGAAATGAATGTTCCCTACTGAGCAGTACCAAAGCTCAGGTGAATCACAAGCACAAGCAGTGACGCCAGCCTCAAACGCTGCAGCCACCCACAGACCCGAGCCCTTGGTCACACACAACAGGCCAGCAAGGCAAGGCAAGGCAAGGCATTTCATGCCCTCCTGAACACGCTCATCTCCATCTCCTTGTCTGCCACGCGTGGTACTAGCAACTCAAAAGCCAAAGTACAAACCACCCAGACTATTCGGTGGGCCATACACTCCAACTTTCCCCAGAAAAAAAACCAGGTCAGGCAGTGGCAGAAGCAGCCTATAGTACTAAGCCACTTAGAGCACAGAGCTTCCATCTGCAGCCAGTTAAGCGTTCCTGGCCACGTGAGCGCTGCTGCCATCCCTCCTCTGGGGGGAATCCAGAAGCACAGAACTCCTTGTCCACCCCCACATCAAATCTCATGCCCAAAAATGTTACACATACAACCAGATGAGACAAAGGAGAATTATTATTTGCAGTTTAGTGAGGCCCACAGTAATTAAGGGACTTGTCAAAGCTCACTTGGCAAATCTGAGGCAGAACTGGGAACTACAGCTAAATCTCTCAAATTTTGGTTTAAGAGCTGGACTGCAAAAGTCCTGTGCTCCTTGGCTGTTATACTGCTACCTTTGCAACAGGTTTCACCCTTCTCCCTGCTCTTCCTAGGCAGTTAAGACAATTCCCCTCTACTCCTGCATTGAAGGAAATGAACAAACGCACAGATTAAAATAAAATAACTTTTACCTTACTTCCAAAATTATAAAATGTCTCAGCTCTAACCTTTGTCAGAAGCTCAGAAGCTTCAGGCTCTTCTATGAGGTGGGATTTGTAGACTGGAGGGTTCTGTTGTTGGTGGTTTTTTTTAAAATTTCCATCAGACAATAATAAAAGAAGCAAAACAAAAGAGGGCTGTTGAGATCAACTTGTGATAGGTGTCTGGCCAAAGAAAATGGAGCCAAAGAAGTCAGAACCCTGCAACCAGCAACCTTTGTGTCAATTTAAGCAAATATTGTGGCGTTTCCATGGCAATTCCTGTTTTGAATATCCACTACACTCACTTTTTAAAGGGCTTTTCCTGTTTGTGTTTCAACTTCAAAACCTGTAAATATTTTCAGCCTTAACACATCCCGACCTCCCCCAGCCTCTGAAATGAGATACCATCAATGCTCTGTCATGAGGTCTGCTGTCTGCAGTACCCCAAAGCTGTGAAAACTCACGGCAGAGGCAGGGTGGCAGCCCAGGACAGCTGGGGACAGCAGAGGCTTGGCTGGCCTTTGACACACTCTCGGTGCCAGCCCCCACAGCTGCAGGTACAGGAGCCCGTGCCACGCTTCTCCAAAACTGATGAGTGAAAAGAGCTATCGCAAACACTCAGCTCTGACAGCATCAGCTCAAGGCGAGCAGCAGGCAGCAGTTTTTTGCCAGTCTCCTTCCACCCCACTCTGCCAGCTCAGGCTGCCTCTGAGCCCCACTCCAGCTGCAGTTTCTGCGGGGAGGCTCCTGCTGTGCCCTGCTCACACAGCCCCGAGCTGCCCCCTGCCCTGACCCGGCTCTCCTCCCTTCCCTTCCACCTCAGCCGAGCTAAGGCTGTCACTCACTCTGATTTATGGGATGCTGCGTCATGTGCAAGTGAGAATGAGGAGTCAACTTTGTCCTCACTTGTGACCTGGGCGAGGATGTAAATTCCCCAGCGTCCTCACAGCAGCCTGCAGGTCCCTGCTGCATTGATCTATCCCTGCTCCACCAACACAGGGCCCACGGGGAAAAGTCCTGGGGAAGGAGCCCCAGTCAGCTGCTGGTGTCACTTGTCACATCTGAGCATCAGGAGCCTGCTGCTAACCCTCTCCACAAAGAATAAAGCTGCCCCTGAAACTAATGCTGGGTTGGAGGAGGGGGCTGGTCTTTGGCATGGGTGGAGGTGCACGAAAACACCTCCCGCTGCACGTCAGAGACACCTTAAGGACTTTCATCCCCAAGTCCCCAACTCTGAAAGCTTCGGCCTGTCCTGCTGGAATACTGCCCTTCCTAGTAGCCATGGGAGTGCACTGGTTAATTGTGAGTTTCCTGGCTGTGATGGATTTGTGCCAGGCCTCCAATGCTAGCTTCGTGTAATTTTTGGGAAGTCAATTTCCTTTTTCCTTTTTTTTTTTTTTTTTTTTTTGGTTTTTTTTTTGGTTTTTTTTTTGTTTTTTTTTTGTTTATTTTGTTTTGTTTGTTTGTTTTGTTTTTGGGGGGGGTTTTTTGTTTTTTTTGTTTTGTTTTTTGTTGGGGGGGGGTTTTTTTTTTTTTTAATTTTTTTTTTTTTTTTGTTCAAGGTTCAAGGCTCTTTTAAACTGAAAAGTACAAGCATTTGAATAGGTGTCAGGATAAGGCTATCCATCCATGGGCTGCAGCTTCCCAAGAGCATTTTATAGGCACTGTGGCACCTCAGAGAACAGCCATGGAAACAAACACAAGTGACTCCAGGGCTGTTATGTCAAATGCCCACAGCAGCAGCTCCTGGGTGCGCTCCTGTCCTCCCATGAGCATTACTCCTCACTCCTGACCACCTCTCCTACAATGCTGGGTGCTTCTGGCACCACCAGCAGATGAGGCACAATGCCTGCTGTCCTGGCCAGCTTCCAGCTCAGGTAATTACATCCTACAGGAGTTTCAGCTGGATATTTTATCCCTTCTTCACTTCCGGCCCTGAGCTGCTTCAGTGGGAGTTGCTAAAACTCTATCCAGATCCACCCCGGACGTGAGTGCGTGGAGGGAATTCTGTGCATCCCAACAGGTCCCAAGAGCCTGGTGTTTCAGCAAACAACCTCTAAAAACATGTGACAGCATACCTGCTTGTGTACATGCCGTAACACCCCCACCTGAGAACAAGGTGCAGAGCTGGGAAAACAGCTGCCCTGCCACACCAGAAACCAACAATTTCTGCAGACGTGTGCTTAACTCTGCCCGATTGTGGAGCACGATTTGGGACATGGACACTGGCTCCTGTCCTTTGCTAAAGTGAGAACTTTCCTCCCATCATCTCCCAGGCTTGGCAGAATTAAACTTGCGGTGGCAGTGGTGCGAGGCTGAAGCCACAGCTGCTGGTCAGCCTTTGTCAGTGGTATTACGTGCTGCAAGGGACACCGGAGATTTTGGATGCACAGGAGAAGACACACCAGGTTTAGAGCAGCCATGAGAATGGGCCTAGGGTCCATGGCAGGCCAGGTCAGCAGGTGTCAGTGAGCAGGAAACCCTGGCAGGGTGACACTCTCACCAGTTCCTGACAACACGTGCTCCAAGGTGCAGGCAGAGAGGCGGGTCCCCCTCCCTCCCGAGGGAGCAGTGTTTTGGCATTTGCCACGGCCACAAGAATTCAGAGCCCTTCCAAGCTGTCCAAGACATTTGGAAATGATGTGCTGACCCACCCTCCACTCAGTACAGCCCAAGAGTCCCCAGGCTTGTAAGTGGGCTCTACCTAACCTCTGTTCAGTGCCCTCTTTGTCTTATTCTTTCAGCAGATTCTGCACCAGATGCTCACCTGGTGTAAAATCAGTACAGTTTCGGTGGCTTTAGTGAAGTCATGCCAATTTAAATGAGTTGAGGATCCGGCCCTCCAAGTTACTTGAGTTGCCAGTTCTTCCTTTGGATAATCCTGAGGGTGATTTCACAGCAAGCAGCAGCACAGGCCCAGCCAGCCTGGCAGGATCAGCTGTGCTTTCCTACCTCCCCTCTACCCCTCCACCCTCCCTGCCCCAAGTCAGGCAGTCCCTGCTGTGAGACCCTGCTGCCAACAATGCTGGACCCATCATCATCTGCTTTGTGTACTGAGTTTCCTTCTCTCTGTTGCTTAATTAAACATAGATACAGCACAGAGTAAATTACTCTGGGCTTTTGATCAGGGCTTTCTACTTGCTTTTTGCAGGAGAGTTTTTGCCTTTACAGAGCACTATGTCACATCTTGCCAAGTATTTGGAGAGGGTGCTGGTCGCTTGTCCAGCAGCAAACCCCAACCAGTTTAGGCTGACTGTGAAACAGCAAGTCTTTATGAAGAAACTAAACACTGTCTTCCCCTCTCTCTACTCTCACAGTCTCTACTCCAGGAAATGTAAAAAGCCCATCGCTGCCTGGCAGCTGCTGAAGGAGCAGCCACGAATCCCCTCCTCACCCCCAGCTGCACAGCTGTCCTGCCACCCTCAGCAGGTCCCAGCGTGAGGGAAATGGGCAATGCAGGCACAGGGAACACGGCAAGGCTGCAGCAGGTACTGCACGTGCAATAACTTTACATGCTCTGCCCTCACAAGTCCTTTGCTATCCCCCCAGAGCAATTTTCTAGGCAACAGCGTGGTTGCATTCCCTCCTCTATCTCCTAATAAATATCATGCTAAGCAAGATGAGTATCTTCTTCCCAGACCAAGCAGCATGACCCACTTTCTGAATCAGGGCAGATGCAATTGGGCCCTGGAGTCCTGGACCCCTCCCAAAGCACAGAGATTTTGTAACAATTACAGCAAGAAGCAGAAGGAATAGTAAAATAATAAGTGATCAAAGAGTGCATGGTGGAGTTGAAGCTGTGGGGTGAGTACTGCTCCTTGCCATCCTGTGCTCTGACATTTTCCTAGGACACTGAGGCAAGAGCTGACATTCACATCTCTCCTCCACGTTCCTCAAAAGTAACAGGTCCAATGTCAAATTCTGGGCTCAGGCAAGCCAACTGTTGCCCTCCCTGCACATCCACTCTGATTCTTCCCCTTCTTTTTTCCCTTCCGCACAGCAGAGCAGGAATAGAGGATTCACATTCCAGCAGTGCCAATCCCCCCTTGCACAGAAATACACACACAAATATCCCACCCTGCCCCAGCGATAGCCTTGAGGCTTTTAACAAAGCAGCTGTGCCCAGGGTCCCAGCACTGTCCTGGCTTGTGGGCCAGCTTCCCAGTGGCCCAGGAGCTTGCAGGAGTGTCACTGCCTCTG